CTTGATCGAGCATCCCCTTGACGTAGCGCATAGCCTCTTCACCGCCATCCAGTGATCCTTGCGCGGGTCCTCCATGAAATGGCTGACATACCCGACCGCGAACACGATGTCCGGTTGTGTGTGCGTGAGGTAGCGCAGCCCGCCGACGATGCTCCGGTAGCGCGTCGTGTCCACCTTCGCCGTCGTGCTGTGCTTGGACAGCTTCAGCCGCTCTACCATCGGAGTCGTGCACGGCATGCACTCCGCCATGCCGCCGCGATCCAGCAACTTCTCCGCGTAGGCGCGCTGACCCAGGGAGATGCTCTGCTTCCCCTGCCTCACCTCGATGCCGAGGTAGGAGAGCGCGCCGAGATCGCTCATCTTGAAACGAGCCGCCATCTCGCGCTTGAAACCGTCGATGTCCTCTGCTCGCGCTCCGGTGATGATTAAGTCATCCATATACACGCCGACGACGAGCTCCTCCTTCCCCATCACCGTGTGTAGAGCGCGTGCTCCGTGGCGTAGCGGGTGAACCCAAGTTCGCCCAAAGTGGTGTCAAGGTTGTCATTCCATGCCCGCGGGGCCTGCTGGAGCCCGTAGAGCACCTTGCGCAGCCTGAGCACCTTGTGCTCTGCTCCCTTGACGGCGAAGCCCAGAGCTTGCTTGACGAAGACTGTCTCCGCGAGCTCACCGTTGAGGAAGGCTGACTTGACGTCGAGGTGGTGAACGCGCTAGTCCTTTGCCGCTGTCATGGCCAGCAGCAGGCGGACCGACTCCATGCGCGCCACTGGAGCAAAGACCTCCTCGAAGTCGATGCCCTCGCGTTACATGAAGCCGCGGGCGACGAGCCGTGCCTTATACTTGATGATGGCGCCGCGCTCGTCCTGCTTCACCTTGTAGACCCATTTGAGCCCAATCGGCCGGCAACCAGCCGACGGATCAACCAGCTCCCATGTCCCATTATCCTCAATCGCCTTCATCTCCTCCAGCATCACACGCCGCCAATTGGCGTCGCGCTCGGCCAGCACGAATGTGGGCGGCTCCTCCGCGCTGACGAGAAGTAGCTTTGGATCGTCGAGGATGCAGGTGGCCAGCCCAGGAGCTCCTCCGTCGCCGACGATGTTGTTCACCCGGCGGAAGCGCACCTCCTCGCCATCGTGGAAGGCGTCCACGTACTCGTCGATGTCGGTGGGCGGAGATGTAAACTCGAGCAAAAGCGTCCCCTGTCCTGCCGAAGCAGGGGACTGAGGTGGAGGCGATTGCGCCGCTGCTGGTCGAGACTGCTCGACTGCGCCCGACATGGCCGGACTTGGCGGCTCCTCCTCGGCCGCCTCTGCTGCCAGACCTGACCCGTACGCAGCCTGCTCTCCAATGCCATCATCTCCTCCTCCTTGGATCACCAGGTGTTTGACAACAAACATGCCGCTGGCACCACCGGCTTCCCCCATGCCCGAATCTTCTCAATCCTAGGCCGTCGTCTCGTTGAACACCACATCCCTAGAGATCACCACCTTGCCTCCCTTGGGATCGTAGAGCCGATAGGCCTTGCTGCCTTCCTTGTAGCTTAGGAGCACCATGGTTCTGCTCCTATCCTCTAGCTTGCCGAGGTGAGGTTTTGTGTTCTTCACAAGGCTGACGCAGCCGAACGTTCTGAGGAACGACACGTTCGGCTTGCGCCCGTGCCAAGCCTCGAATGGCGTCTTGCCCTTCAGGGCCTTGGTGGGCGCGTGGTTGAGGATGAACACCGCCATAGTCACCGCCTCGCCCCAGAACTCCGTCGGCATCTTCTTGGCCTTCATCATCGACCCCACCATGCCGACCATCGTCTGGTTCCGCCGCTCCACCACACCATTCTGCTGCAGCGTGTACGGCGTGGTGTGGTGGCGCACCACCCCTTGATCCGCGCAGTACGCGGCGAACTCCACCGAGGTGAACTCGCCGCCGCGATCCATCCTCAGCATGCGCAGCTTCTTCCCACTCTCGGCCTCTACACGTGCCTTGAATCTCTTGATCGCCTCCGCCGCCTCACCCTTGCACGTCAGGAGGTGTAGCCACATGAAGCGGTTGCAATCATCCATGAGGAGGATGAAGTACTTGCGCCCGCCGTGCGTCGCCGGCGTGATTGGCCCGCAGAGGTCGCCATGGACCAGCTCGAGGGCCTCTGTCGCGTGGTACTTCACCGTCTTCGGGAACGACAACCTCCTCTGCTTCCCAGCCAGGAAGCTTTCACACAGCTCGCCTACGTGCTCGATGTGAGGTAGCCCCTGGACCATCTTCTCCAGCTTGCCAAGGGCGTCGAAGCTGAGATAGCCGAACCGGGCGTGCCACAGCCACGGCTCCTCCGTGCGCCACGCCGCCAGGCAGATGGGCTACTCCACCTTCAAGTCAAGCAGATACAAGCGATTCCGGGATCTCTTCACCTTGGTGAGTAGCCGCTGCTCCCAGTCCCTGATCTTGAGGACGTAGTCCTTGATTAGCACCTCGCTCCCGTGCTCATCCAGCTGCACAATGCTGATGATGCTTGAATGTAGCTACGGGATGTAATACACATCCGTCAGTGCACGGTGCTCGCCGTTCTGGCACCTGAAGATGATGGTACCGCGCCCTTGGATCGCCACCCTTGAGCCATCGCCGAACTTCACCGTGCCGATAACGTTCCCGTCGAGCTCGGAGAAAGCAGCCTTAGAGCCGGTCATGCGGTTGCTGGCGTCGGAGTCCAGGTACCACCTCTGCTCCTGCTCGCCGCCCACTCGTCCAAGGTGGACTTGGGCGCGCGGCTCGTCGAGGTCGACGGTCTTCGAAGCCTTCCCCCGCTCCACCATCGCCACCTCCTCTGCTTTCTTCTCTGCCTCGACGTCGTGAAGCGCACAGAACAACGGCATCAGGAGTGGCCTCATCCTCATCATCAGCCTGCGCCAGATGGGCTTCCACCTTCTTCTCCTACTTGCGGCTCGGGCACTCCTTCGCCCAGTGGCCTGTCTTCCCACAGCGCCGGTAGACGTTGGGGTCGACCTTCTTCTTCTCCTCCGAAGAAGGCTTGCTGTCGCCGCTGCCCTTGGAGGAGCCTTCCCCGGACTTCTCCTTCATCCAGGCCGCCCACTCCTCCGTCAGCAATAGCTTGCCGCTGTCCGCCTTCGCCTGGGCCTGCTCCATGTGCTCGTCCACCGCTCCTAGGCGGCCAGTCACATCCTCAATGGTGAGGGTGGACAAGTCCAACATCGTCTCTATGAAGAGAGCGATCTGGAAGTACTTCACCGGCACGAAGTGTAGGTACTTGGAGACCGCTTCCTCTTTGTTGATGGTGACGCCGTGGCTCCCCAGCTTGCTGATGAGTGACTACAAGCGAAGAGAGAAGTCCTCCACCGATTCTCCATCGCAGAACTTGAGGTTGGTGTATTCCCGCTTCAGCAGCTAGGCCGTCGCCTTCTTTGCGCGGTCGGAACCGACGCGCATCGCCGCAATGGCCTCCCACGCCTCCTTAGTAGTCTTCTTCGCCCCCAACGGCTCTATGTACTTCGTCGGCACGACAGCGAGGATAGCCTCCATCGCTGACATGTCGTCTTCTTCGTTGTCGGTGCCCTTGTCAATGGCATTCCAGAGCCGTCGGGCTCTGAGCTTGACATTCATGGTCATCGCCCACTCACCATAGTTGGTGCGAGTCAACGTCGGCCAAATGGTGCCACTGACCTCCCGCACCGCGCGCACAACGACCTCCTATCGTGGCTGGGTAGCCCCAGCAGCGGCGCTGCTGTCGCCCGTCTCCGAGCCAGGTGCCATCTCCGACGGTTAGTCCGGCGACGCAGGCGAACCTGTATGGCTCCGATACCACTTGTTGGTCCCTGGGATCCCTACACACAAGCTTACCTGTACACTCACTCACTATGGCTAGAGGTAGAAGAAGGGGTTGAGCTCAAGAACACACACAACACACGCACCAGCTCTGAACCAGAGCTCTGAAGACTGAATGTGGCAACTGAACTGCCATTTTCCATTACATAGAGGTAGTATATATACAAGCTGCTAGTACCTCCTAAGGTACACTAGTACACCTACTACAATGTCCTCTAGGACATGGCTGATATCAGCCCCAACAACTAAGATATGGCTGAGCTAAGCCACTACTACCTAAGGTACAATCCGGTACAAGTGATGGCCTATTGCCATACTTGAACAGGGCCAAGGACAGCAATGAGCTGACCAAAATGTCAAACTCTGCTGCAGGGAAAGAGAGAGGGATCAACAGCAGATTATGTCTTACATAATTGAAATGAAAAATATTCACTCCCCTTGGACCAATTGATGAACAAACAGATCGACAAAAGAGAAGAACAATATGTCATTCTTTGATACTCTCAGGTCAGGCATGAAGCACTCAAACAAATATTGTTGATAGTGATAACTTTATGTTTAAAGAACTGAATCAACAGAATAAATACAAGTGCCACGGAGGTATGCTGCTGGCTAACATGAAAGAACCAACAAGGCTGCAGACAGTAACAAGAAAAAAACTTAACGAGAACAGGGGCTGAATCACCACACACTCATTTCTCCCCTAGAAGTTTAGGCTTAACTAGGATGAGCTATTCTCAACATGAGCCTTTCATATGGTAATCAGTTTCATGATTTTTTTTATTGAACAAACCGGCATGAGAGTGTACCAATTTCATTAATAGAGAAGAGTTACAGGCCCCTAGAGGCAGAAAACAAAACGCTCTCATTCTAGACCTGCAAGCTGTTGTAGCGTCATGAAACACAGGAACAGTAGCCATTCCACTAACTAATGCATTAGCAGGGAATATGCCTGGTAAACATGTGCAAGTGCAGAATGTGTAAAAGAATATCATGGATCGTTACCCCTATCGGTAAATCATCTAAATTTGTACATTTCAGGTTTCAGAAACATGACTGGCAGCGCACAAGGACAACAAAGCAGATTTTAGAGTTCCACGCTTCCACGCTACGCGGCTAAGACCAAACTAAATAACTTTTCCACAAAATTATCCAAAATCATATAACAACACTCATCCCTCATTTCTTCCACCCAATTTAAGTAAATCACACGGAGTCCCACATGTCAAAGACGAAGAGACACGAGCTACTTTACCTCTCCTCTGGGAGAAGACAGGCGGGCCGCCCATGCGCTGGATCAGGAACTCATACTGGTTCTGGATGGCATCTTCCTTCTTCGACCCCGCGAATATCTCCCGAAACCACTCCTCCTCGTCCTCATAAACCCTATAAAATCCAGAAATTCAGCAGGTCACGAGCGAAAACATTCTAGATCGGATTGGTTCAAAGCAGAGGAGAACAAGGGAGGGACAGAGTTGCCGACCGACGGACGGACCTGGTGTAGAAATTGGTGGAGAGGTCGACGAAGGGCTGCGGGGTGCCGCCGAAGGACTCGAATATGTTGACGTCGTCGATGGCGAAGGCATCGGTGGCTGCCACGCCGCTCCACTCCGACGCCTTGTCCTGCAGCGACTGCATCCCGCCCCCGAAACCACCCGTGTGAGACCGCACACCGCAGCGGACAGCGGGCAGTTGGGAAGGGATATGTGTGCGCCGTGCGCGTGTGACTCACGCGACGCGCTCTCGGCTTTATACCACGCTCCACCGGCCAATCGGGTGGCGAGCACGCGCGGCCGGGGTTCCACGGGCCCAGGTGGTGGTGGGCGAGGTGAGCCTGCGTGGTCGACGGTGATGTCGACATGCTATGTCACGACACGAATGATGACATTTGCTACCCACGGATTACAAAAGACGCCCGCGGTTTTGCTTAGGGTAACTTTTTTTTAGGTGTGGTTTAAGAGCAACTTGTTTTTTTACTACCTATTTGTATCTTAAAACAGTTAATTGTTAAAAAATAGTTGAGTGATTCAAACATACGCAGCGGGGAGTCTTAGGTCCGAACGACCGGACCGTATCCCACGCCGCTGATTTCCCACCCGCGCTGATTTCCCACCCGCGCTCGAAGATCCTGCCAGCGCTCGAAGCTGAAGTAAAATGCCGCCAATTTTTTTTCCCACCCGCTTGATTTGCAACCCAGAACATGCATGCAGTGACGTCATCATTTTCCATAAACTAAAAAAAAGTCATAACTCCTAAATCAAACATCCAAATTAATTTTCAATTACACCATCAGGTTTCTTGCAACAAATCCTTCAAAACAACATCCAACGTGAACCTATTTAGATAATTTTTTATTAACGAACATTTATCTTATAAGGAGAGAATATTTTCTTTTATTGTGCAGAGACAATGTTCTAAGTTAAGAGAACAATGTTCCGCCTTCGTAAGAAAAATGTTCTGGTTTAGAAGAACAATATTCTAGTTTTATATTGGTATTATAATATACATAAAAATAAATAAATAAATAAATAAATAAATAACATAAATAAAATAATAGAATCTAAAGCAAAGTATAAGAAAAAAAATAAAAACACGTAATAGAGAAAAAAATAAAAGAACGTCACATGGATACTTTTCAAATATCCTAAAATATACTATAGAACATCATATGTGTACTAAGTGAACATCACTAAATATACCAACATCGCATATATATTAAGTAAACATCACTAAATACATCATAGAACACTATATGTGTACTAAGTGAACATCACTAAATACATCATAGAACGTCACATGTGTACTAAGTGAACATCACTAGATACATCATCGAACATCACTAAATACATTATAGAACATCGCATATATATTACGTGAACATCACTAAATACATCATTGAACATCACTAAATACATTATAAAACATCGCATATATATTACGTAAACATCACTAAATACATCATAGAACATCACATATATACTAAGTGAACACCACTAAATACACCATAGGATATCACTAAATACATTATAGAACATCGCATATATATTACATGAACATCACTAAATACATCATAGAACATCACATGTATACTGTGCAAGCATAAAAAAAACACCACAGAGCATCACATGTATACTACGAGAACATCACAAAATACATCATAGAACATTACATGTATATTATGTGAACATAAAAAAACATCAGATATATAATACGTGAACATAAAAAACATAGAACATCACTGCATAAACATCACAAAAAATAACATAGAACATCATAAAAAATAATATGTAAAGAAAAAAATAAAAATAATAAAGGTTAAAAATCTAAAAATATATAAAAATGAAAATAATAATAAAGACATAAAAAAGAAACAAAAATGAATGATGCACGAAAAGAAAAAGAAAAATAAAAGAAAAGGTAAAAGGAAAAAATAAATAAAGATTAAGAAATAAAAAACACGAATCAAAGAAAAATATAATTAGAAAAGAACAAAATAAAATAAATAAAAAAATAAAAGAAACATAAAATATAAAAAATTAAAAACAATAATTAGAAAATACATAAAACATAAAAAATAAAATAAAAAATGAAGCACAAAAAGAGAAAAGAAAAGAAAAGGAAAAAGAAAAAAAGAAAAAGAAAAAGAAAAAGAAATGAAGAGATACTAACGTACTTGCTTCTAGACTAACGTACCTGCTTCGGTACGCTGGGGCTTCCCGTGCAGGCACGCGCTAGGTTTCCCGCGTGCTGTTCGGCGGACGGCTCCGGTCCGCCTATTTGGACCGAAAGATTTTCGACTAAGGCCGCGTTTAGTTCGGTCCCAGATTTGGCACCGCCCAAATTCGCGGCAATGTTGCGGCACTGTTGCGTACTGTAGCGTTTTGTTTTTATTTGGTAATAATTGTCCAATCGTTGACTAATTAGGCTCAAAACGTTCGTCTCGCAAAGTACAACTAAACTGTGCAATTAGTTTTTGATTTCGTCAACATTTAGTACTCCATACATGTACCGCAAGTTTAATGTGACGGGGAATCTTCTTTTTGCATAGTGCCAAATTCTGGAATTTGGATGAACTAAATGTGGCCTAATTGGCTAACCAACTGAGCATCTCCAATAGTACTAAAAATTAATTCTATAAATTGGTTTTTTTTTTACTTTTCCAATGAATATTGAAGGGGGAAAAAGCCATTACCAATATTTTTCAAGAATTTATTCGAGACAATCAAAAAGCAGGTCCACTTGAAAATTTTTGGTCCCCACCTATTCCACATCAACAACGCTCTCATCATTGCCGCTACAAGCCAACCATCTCCTACGCATAACTCACACCTATAACCTGCAAAAGAAATCTCCACTGTGCACACCTATGCTCTCCGGTGTGGTCACCAAAGTGTGACTCTAGAGACAATGTTTTCAGCGCACTTGAGGTGTTGTGCTGACCGGAACTTTCCAGTAATTTCCCTGGACATGCACTGGCGTGTTGGAATCGTCCTACGGCTAGTTTCGTAGCCGTTGGAGATCTCCACTGTGAGCACTCGCTCACCGGAGCTCTCTGTTGCCAACGATTTCTACACTGTAAGCTTGCAACTGCTAGTTTTTCATGTGAGTCTATAAATAGAGCTGGTGGTCGGACATGGCTGCCCTCTTGAACCCCTTTGGTTGATACAATTGGATGTTAACTCCCTAACGGAAAAAGTGGCATCAAGGGGAAGAAAATTTTAAAAACTTGTATAGAAGTCGCAGTGAACTTTTCAATGATACATACAGATTGGTCATCTTTTCCTGTGACACACGGATTGTGTGTGTGGCAATCATATAAATATTTTAGAAAAAATCCTAAATTACTCCCTCCATAAAAAAGTTGTCTGGATAACCCATAAAGCAATTTGTGTTCAATACTTGAATTTACCCCTCTTAATCTTTTGGTTGGTCCATTCTACCCCTTCATATGATTTGTCTTTTTACTTGTTCTTGTACAAGTTGAGTTCTTAGTTTAAATTTTGTAATTAAAATTATAGGAAATATCAGAAATTATATTAGAAAAGACATTATGAATTTAATGATTATAATTTTTTGTATAATTTTGTCAATTTTGTATGAGGAGCTAATACCTGAATTTAGTGAACAAATAAAACAAATACAAGCAAATAAAGCGGAAAAAGGAAAATGTTTTGTGGTTTCTTTAACAAAACAAATTCAGAAATCAAATGTAACAGAATGTCAATTTTTTCTATATTAGACAAATGCAGATGTTATTCAAGTGAGTTTAACAAAGTAAAATCAAATAGCATATGAAACAGATGTGCAATTTTTTTCTTCTAAAGTTAGACAAAGGCTAAGATTACTCAGGTGTGTTGCAAAGAAAATTCAGATAGGATGAGACTGATGTGAAAAGTTCTTTGTCAAATTACATATATAATTACATAGCAAAATCAAATAACATATGTACAAAAAGAATTATACATATATAAATAGAAACAGGTACACCTACTTTTCTAAAGAATTACATATACTTTTCTAAAGAATTACATATAGTAAACAATGTAATAATAGAGTTGACAAACTAGAACTTTAAATTACGTATGAGTGACTGCCGAGAGAACAGGGGAAGAAATGCGCTGCAGCCTTTGTGATCCAAAATATTGGACGCGCTTCCCAAAATTGAATAGTATATACTGTATTACATGTCGGTCCCACAACTTAGATAGAAAATAAAAAAAACAACGAGCACAGATCAAACGGCCAGCCTAGAGTCAGATGAAGAGACGAACGGCGCAAAATTCAGGTAGCGAAGGCAATAGGAATGCCCAGGTATCCTACAGCTTTCAAAAAAAAAAAAAGAACAAAACTAATCTCTTGTCGGTGTTTTGTAAACCAGACTAGTAAATTTATACGATTGCCACGGTACTTCAGGAAGATGATGGTAGCATCCAAAAATGCACGAGGATTTATATTGGTTTAGGCTGGAGCTCTACGTCCAGTCTCAGAGATGATCAAGTGCGTGTTCATCGCTTAATGCTCTAAAGTTCTTATAATAGGGAGTGCAAGAATGGTGAAAGAGGAAGAAGAGTTAAAGCTAGAAGACGGGCAGCCCGAAGGGAAGCTTCAGGGGCCTGCTACGATGGAGAGTGGGTGAATGAGTAGGGGACTCAGAATCTCTAGAAAGGGTACCCTGGCCGCCCTTATATAGAGTGCGGGGCCAGGGCGCATATAATGGAGTAGGTTCTCCCGACTGAAGGGTCGTGAGCCTGAGGGAGATCCTAGCTAACTTAGCTTGCAAGCTATGTCGTCTTGAGGTGCATGTCCGGACATGGTTGTTGTCATGGTCCTGTGGCTACGTCGCGGTGTGGTGCAGTGTAGTGCTTACTGTGCTAGCCGTGGCAGCACTGTAGGCAAGGTGGTGGTTCACCAGCCATCCATACGATGTGGTCTCCGTCATGGTCTTCGTCATCATCTCCTAGTTTTCTAGGGCGTCGTACGGGAGTTGGTAGCCGCCCCAGGTCGTCGATCGCCCGGTTGTCTTGAGGAGCCGAGGGCCACTATCCTGATCGCTGGGGTTGTGGTTCCCCGCCGGTCTTCAAGTCAATGCCTTCGTCGTGGATCCCATCCCATAGTTGGTGGGGTCGTACATGCGTCTT